ACAGATCATGATATTGTTATTCCAATTAAAATTTAATTTAATTATATAAAGAAATAAGATTTCATTTTCTTTTACGTGACGTCGTAGGAACGTTGTGTGGGATGATATGTGGCGAAAATTTTAATTTTCCATGCAGTCTAAGATTCCGCGGCCTTTCGTGATAAGAAACAGTATTTATGAAACGACGAAATTTAGCCTTTGGTTTTATCGAGCAAGGCCGCAGTTTAACTTCAATACCCGCAATAAAATAAATTAATTAATTACGTAAAACAAAATATACTCTATAATATAAATACGCTACATATAATGAGAGTGAAGGAATATATTTTAATTACATTCCAGCCATCCCAAAACAACACCTAGCATTAAGTAACTATAAGTATAATATATACAATTTTGTAAACCCTCTGAAATATCCTCATCTATGTCTTAGAGGAACAATTTATTTCAACCTTCAACGTTCGCGTTTTCGTTTCATTTTCAGAGAGATCCTTGGTTAAAAAGAAATACTTTTTGAAGTAAAATAGTTGCAAGTAATAAATGAAGCTGTTGAATGATGATATTACTTTAAAATTAATATAACATTTATATCATATAATTCTCTTTTTCAAGTATTCCATTCACATATTTTTAACAAAAATTTATTTCAGAACTGTCTTTAGCAGTATCAAAATACAGAACAACTGTACTTAAAATTAGTAAATCATAAACGTAAGATCCAAACACAATATATTAAAGTTTTTTTGACTCATTATTTTTTTAGCACTAAGTTGTTTAACTTTGAAATAAAAGTGTCATAACCTACTAAAAGACTTGGGCTTGTCCAGAACTCTCATTAATTCATTCTTAGAGTATACGTCGAAGGCAGCCCTAGGGGGTTCTTTGCAAATTTGGTTGGGCAGAGAGAGGAGCTTGGATAGTGGAGGTGAGCGGTAGAAATTAAAAATCAGATTGCATTGCAATTATAATCTTGCAGTTCTCTTCAGTAAGTGTATAAATCAAATCTCAATTAACAGTTTATTTTTTACTAATATTTTCTTTCTGCTAGTGACCTACAAAAGGCGCTTAAAGGTTTGGTTGTTTTGTCGGAAGCCCTAGAAAGTATGTCAGGAAGTTTGGCTAAAAACGCTGTTCCAAATATATGGAGTGCTAAGGCGTATCCTTCGCTTAAACCATTAGGTATTATTTATCACAAAAATATATTTATCACAAAAAAAGGCAAAAAATAAGCTGCTTGATAAATTTACAGAAGGCTTATTAATAATTTTCGTTTTTCACCAGCGGCTTGGGTAAAAGATTTATGTCTCCGAGTACAATTTATGCAGCAGTGGGCTGATGATGGGATTCCTAAGGTGTTTTGGATTTCTGGGTTCTACTTCCCCAGGCATTTCTTACTGTTGCATTACAAAACTATGCTAGACAACATGTCATTGCAATTGATACCATCGCTTAAGCTTTTGAGATAAGTCTAAGATAACACCCCAACGGTAGGTACAGTTCAAATTTAAAAAATATGTAGGTATTTTGGACACACAAATTTCCACTGTTTCGCTTACTTAAGTATCAGTAGTGATAGTGATTAGTAGTGGAAAATAAGATAGAAAACCTGTACTCACGCATAATTCTATAAGTAATTATATCTTCTGGTCTCAAAACTCTGGCAGACCAGCTTCGGATCAGCTTATCAAATGTAATCTTTATTTGATTAATAATACAATAATAATAGAGGTTTATTAATAATGAATACTCGCGAAAGTCCTGTTAGGTTTATTACACTTTATTATAAATTTATATTCATCATCATCATGATGAATATATGTAAATTTATGTTACTCAATGTTAAACCAGTTAATAAACACAATTTAGAAAAATGGTTAGCAGAACAGATTTGAAAGGAATATTTGTACATATTATGTTACAAGTTATATCTCCAGGCTCTTAACGCTCCGCCAGCCAAGAAGCCAGATGATGGTTGCTGTGTCCGAGATTTAATACTGGTGATATGACACTAGAAGAAAGCAGGCCAAAGGAACTACATACCGGTTGGTATTTCAAAACTTCACTACTTATAAACTTTATCAGTAATTCATGTTAATGAGGTGATAAAAACTAAAATATTTAAAATATTCAATTCCAGAAATGGCAATCATATATATGAAACCGGAACAAAATCATAATCTAGCGCAAGGTTTATACGAATGTCCGACATACAAGACACTCGTTAGAGCTGGGACACTCTCGACCACTGGACACTCGACCAACTATGTAATGACTATTGAACTGGCGACTCATAAGCCACAATCACATTGGATCAAGCGCGGCGTCGCTTTGTTCTGTGCTTTGGATTACTGAACGATTCGGCATATGTCGAAGTTTCGGCATATTGCACTATCCCTAATTACCCTAATCCGCGGGACTACCATTGGATAATTTTGGATGAAATATTTTCCAAATTAACGAATTTTTAATTTTTTTTTTCACGATTTTTTATTTAGTGTTCAATTTATTTCTAACTAGTAAACCCGGCGAACTCCGTTTCGCCACCAGAAGGCTTTTATATAACATTTCGTTTGGTGATTAAAAGATGAAGAATTTTTTGTTTTATATTTGAAAAGGAAAATTTTTATTTCATTTCACAACAGTAATGAATTCATTTCGATTACAAAAATGAAGTGTTATTTAGTTGAACTACTCTAAGTAAATGAAAGTGAATCCAAACTAGATACCGAATCGAAGCGTTATACGTGTCCGCAAATTATCCGTTTCATTGAAGTGCTCCTTTGTAAACCACATTTTTTGTTTTTTGGTCTAACTTTAACACAAATATAGCGTATGGTTTCCAAACTCGTGACCATACAAAATATAACTGCCCATGTGAAAAACAAGGATTTTCTAAATTTATCCCGCAAATACTAAATGGTTTTAAGAGTTCAAACTACAAACACATTACCTAAATATTTTTATTTTTATATAGTAGATTTCTTACAAATATCTAATTGTCATCCATACGTCATTACATATCTGTCATTATAAGTCAATTGCATAGCTGTCAATTGTGTTATTCCACGTTTTATAGTGACTGACGTTTCATGTCAAGTCCCACGGGAATACTGTCGAACGGGATAAAAAGTATCCTATTGCAATTTCCTGGTTCTAAACTACCTCCCTGCAAATTTTAAGCTGAATCGGTTCAGCCGTTCTTGGGTTATAAGTGAAGTCACTAACACGACTTTCTTTTATATATGTATATAGATTGTGAAAAAATCACCTTAAAAGTCGTTAATTTAGAAAATATTTCAGAATTAACTTTCTTCTGGTAATCTGCTTCTAATGTAGATACGTCGATGTAAATTACATACCAAATAAAATATTTAATATTTTATTTGTTGTTTTTTATTGTAATTTCTTAAATAATATCACTTGATACTAGTTAATCTATTGTATAGCGACAGACCTCTTTACAAAGAGTACACTTTTATCTGCAAGTGAAGTTAAATCTTAGAGATAAAATGAATCTGAAACGGATTTTGTATTTCATAAAGGCTTAAGCTCTTTTCCTGGAATAAGCCAAATACAGTTTTAATCAATTAATCAATTTCAAACCAAGAAACAAAATTTTGTCTATTTTGTTTTAATTAAAATTAAGCTGAATACATGTTTCATTAAATAATTTCATTTTTAATCGCATCAGATAGCTCTTCTTTTGCTACTTTTCATCCTAGGTTTCCCACTATCTCATTCCTTTGTTTTTAAAAGAAAAACATTACCATAACATGTTATCAATTATTGGTAAACTTTTTTTTTATTTGAAAAGGGGGCAACCGAGCAGACGGCCTACTTGATGGTAAGTATGTAGTTACCGTCGCCCATTGACATCTGCAACGTAGATATGCAGATATGTTGCCGCCCTTGTTAGGGGAAAATGGGGAGTAAAAGGTGAGAGGGGGAGGGAAAAGAGGGAAAGGAAAAGGCAGGAAGGGGTGGGAAAAGGGCTTTCCCTTTTTAAATAATTAACTAATTGGATTACATTTAAACTCCTTGGTATGGTATAATTACATATAAATGTTAGTATAGTATGTGTTTAAAAAATATCCAGCTCGAAGAAATGTTTATTCGATAAGTTCCCCGCTCCTCAAATTCCAAAATATTTTTTTGTTGTAAAAGGCCACTAGTGCATTAATTTATGGAGAGATTTCGGTAACATGATTTAAAAACACGATATATAACTATACCAAAAATAATTGTCAGATATTCCTCTACAATAAAACGTAAGGAGTATAAATAGAATAATTTAAATATTAACAATTAAATTAAAATTTTACAGCAACTACTTATACATTATTAAGTTAAGTTAATTTATCAAACAGTATAAAATAACTCTTTTTTGTTTTACATAGGAGCGCGTGGTAGTAATTTATTGAAGCAGACAAAATAAAAACGTTTATTTTTGGCAATTCGGCGAAATTTAGAGTGAAACAAACGACGTCTTTAATATGAAAATCTATTTCAATTTCCACAAGTATTCATTAGCAGTGGATCTTGATAATGATATGTTTTAATGATAAATATATACTTTTTTTTAAGTTCTTATATTTTAGATCATAATTAATAAAAGTGCTACTGTGAGGCCAAATCATCTTAGAGATTAAAAAATATACCTGACGCGCTAATAATAATGCTGATTGATATTTATATAGTCTTTTTACTTACTATTTCTATTTTATATATTTCACTTAGATGGATTGAAATATCCAATGAAATATGTATGACTTTTAAAATTTCAATAAATGACATAACACAGTTGTAATTTAATAGTGATATTGTTTCCACACATGGCTTCATTTTAACTCGAGGAAGTAGATAGCAGATATATTAATTAGGCCTCGGCCTCGAATTTTGCGGGCAGCGGAGCGGGAGCGGGAGCGGCAGGATCTTACGCATATAATCAAATGGACCGACCCTCGAATACAGCGGTGCCCGCTGCCCGCTATTTTGGAGAAATGTATGTGTTTTCGTGCCGCCGCCTAAGGCCTAAGGCCTCGGCCTCCAATTTTGCGGGCAGCGGAGCGGCAGCGGGAGCGGCAGCGGGAGCGGCAGCGGGAGCGGCAGCGGGAGCGGCAGCGGGAGCGGGAGCGGCAGCGGTAGCTTCAGCGGGAGCGGCAGCGGTAGCGGCAGCGGCAGCGGGAGCGGCAGCGGCAGCGGTAGCGGCAGCGGGAGCGGCAGCGGTAGCGGCAGCGGCAGCGGGAGCGGCAGCGGGAGCGGCAGCGGGAGCGGCAGCGGGAGCGGCAGCGCGAGCGGGAGAAGGAGCGGCAGCGGGAGCGGCAGCGGGAGCGGCAGCGGGAGCGGCAGCGGGAGCGGCAGCGGGAGCGGCAGCGGGAGCGGCAGCGGGAGCGGCAGCGGGAGCGGGAGCGGGAGCGGCAGCGGGAGCGGGAGCGGCAGGATCTTACGTGTATAATCAAATGGACCGACCCTCGAATACAGCGGTGCCCGCTGCCCGCTAGTTTGGAGAACAGTATGCGTTTCCGTGCCGCCGCCGCCGCCGCTCCGCTGCCCGCAAAATTCGAGGCCGAGGCCTTACATTACTCAGTAAGTGTGTCTGTCTATTATAAATAAATATTAACTAAATTCAAGATTCATACTGCTGAATAAGAACTGCGATTATGAGATTGGATAAAATTTGATAGAAACCGAAGAGAAATCATTTAATATCACTACATACATACATAGTATGGAACAAAATCGCTTTCTCTGTTTCTATATTCCCTTGTATGGTTAAATCTTTTAAACTACGCAAAGGAGTTTGATGTGGCTTTTTAAAAGATTGTGTATTTAAAGAGGAAGGTACATATATATAATTTAATATATCACTACATAGTATAAAACAAAGTCGCTTTCATGTTCCAAAATCCCTATGTATGCTTAAATATGTAAAACTACACGAAATATTTTAATGCGATTTTTTTAACTAGATAGGGTAATTGAATAGGAAGGTTTATTTTATTTTATTTATTTATTTATTAATTTACAGCGTCAATCTTTATTCAAAAAGTAGTTAAATACACTGTTAATTCAATATAGATCTATATGGCTCTTTACAGTATATAACGTAGATTTTTTGCCCGTGCGAAACCGGAGCGGGTCGCTATGTTTATATACAATGTTCACAGTTTTTGTTTAGTGTATTAAATATAAGCATTAAACGCGTGCGAAGCCGGGGCGCCTTGCTAGAAGATAATAAAATATAGGTAAAGACAACTATATTAATTAAGAATGAATGTATGTATTAGCAAAGTACAAACAATTTAATTATAAATAACTTTTCGAATGCTTTATTTTAATTATTTCCAGCAATTAATTTTAATATTTTCATAATCTAAAAGCTACGGAATTGTAAGTGAAGCAAAAAATACCCAATTTGTCACTTATAATTCAAAGGGCATTATTTTGAAAAGAAAGTTGCTCATTCAATTAATGTTCTTATTTCTATGATAATATAGTTTATATTCCAATAAAACAATTCTTATCATCTATACTAATAAAGAGGAAAGAATTGTTTGTTTATTTGTTATGAATAGGCTCCGAAACTACTGAACCGATTTCAAAAGTTCTTTCACCTTGGGAAAGCTACATTATTCCCGAGTAATATAAGCTATATTATATTTAAATAAAAATTAGAGATCCTTACTAAAACTCTAATAATGTAACCCAAGGTGTAAAAAAATGATCTGAAAAATTCCTTACGTCGCGTGCGCTGCGAAAACTATTGATGATAGAACCAAATCATTTACTACGACTTTGCAGAACTCATCATTATCTACAAAAAGTGTCGCGACAGCATATGTCTAAATATTATATGTAGTTATGTCACAGTAAGCGGTTTTTTATTCTAAAAATTTAATTTATTATCCGCCGCTTGAAAAGGCTCTTTATTTGTAACTTGGTATTAACCCTTATCAAAATAAATTACTTTATATTCAAGACGGCTTCAGTACCTTTTTATAACTCTTGGAATTATTCAATTCGGACATTTCATTCGGAAGATATCACGAGTTTAAATATGCAAGTATTAGAAAAAAGTCGCGTGGTTGCCGCTCACCGCGCTCAGCTAGCCAGCATGCGATGTAGGCTCCATGTAAGCGTCACTGGGGTACGGGGAGGGGAGTCAATCACAACTAATATTGTAAATGCGAAAGTAACTCTGTCTGTCTGTCTGTTACGCTTTCCCGCTTAAACCTCTCAAACGATTTTGATGAAATTTGGCACAGACAATTTTTAGACCCTGAGAAAAATATAGGCTACCTTTTATTACGAAAAAGGGGATGAAGAGGTTGAAATAGGGGTTGAAAGTTGGCAGTGGTCCAGGCCATGGTCGGCAGCGAGAGGGCATGGCAGGCGGTGGCCGACTTCAGCGAGAGACTCATCTTGCAGAAGGAGGCTGCTGAACGAGTGAGGGAAGACGACCCCTCCTCGGCGCCGCTGCGCCGACGAAGGCTGGGTCGAAGGCAGCGGGCTTATGCTCGCGACCTGCCTCCCCAGTGAGGAAGCCTCCGGGCGTCGGTGGGGAACCGGCGTCCGGGTAACATAGGCTAGAGGAAGAGCGGCGTGTTTGGCGTTCCCGGCACGCTGTTCTTGAGTCGGAGGGGTGGTGTGGTCAGCCACTGATACCCCTGCCGATGGCGGAGTCCCTTTCGGGAATTGTGCGTAGTGAGCGGAAGTATGGCTTGCCGTTCCCGCTCACTAGTCTACGCACAGCGCAGAGAACGTCGAGGTGGTTTAGTGGGTGGAAATCCCACATGCCCCTGTCGCGTTTCCCCCGCGGCAGGAAGTCTTTAAAAGATTCCCCTCGTAGAAAAAAAAAAAAAAAAAAAAAAAAGGGGTTGAAAGTTTGTACGGTATTTCTGAATTTTAAAAGAGAAAACCATGAAACTTTATATTTAAGCACTTGATAGGATATATTTAAACATTTGTTCTAGCGTTTTTGAAATTTCGACCAGTGAAGGGGTGAAATAAAGGTTGACAGTTTGTATGGGATTTCTTAATTTTAGAAGATAAAACCATGAAACTTTATATTTAAGCACTTGATAGGATATATTTAAACATTTGATCTAGCGTTTTTGAAATTTCGACCAGTGAAGGGGTGAAATAAGGGTTGACAGTTTGTATGGGATTTCTTAATTTTAGAGGATAAAACCATGAAACTTTAAAATTATAGATCATTTAGTTTTGAAATAACTGAGATACGGAGTTTTGAGACAGCACATACGCGATTTGCTCATAGTGCACTTGGGAAAGCCCCATACAAGGCCGTCTCAAAATCGTTTGACGTGCAAGTCGTTGTTATGGAGTAAAAGTAATAAATTAATTTAGTCTTATAAATAAGCTTTCTTTTCTATATTTTTAAAATTATTATTTTTTGCAAACCATAATATATATTAAAAGGCATCAAAGTTGACTCATGTTCAATGGTGTTATTTTGGCCCAGTAGGTACGAGTACATTATACTACAATTCAACGCCACATTACTTGAAAATTTTACTAAGATTATAAATGCGAAAGTAACTCTGTCTGTCTGTCTGTTACGCTTTCACGCCTACACCATTGAACTGATTTTAATTAAATTTGGTACAAAAATAGAGTTGATCTTGAGAAAGAACATAGGATAGTTTTTATCCCAGACTTTTGAAAGGTTCTCTTGAAAACGCGATATAACCGAAATCCACGCGTGCGAAGCCGCGGGCGGAAAGCTAGTCTTTTATACAATAATTGAAACGTTTCTCTTGTCAGCGTCAGTGTGAAGGGGACGTGACCAGAATTATAAGAATTTGCAGGAGATGGACTACAGCTTAATACATAGATATAACTAAATTATATACTTGAGTGTATACAATATTATTTTACTTATAAATTGATATGATGAAAACTTATTAACTTGAAAAATATGACAATTCACAGCAATAATGAGCAAAGCAACCATAAATACCTATTTCAAAAAAATTTATGATTACCAATGCATCCGACGTTTATGTGTGTAGCAAATATCATTGTACAAGTATGACCCACGCTACAATGTAATTGTTAGTAACCTTTTGTACTTTGAATGCCAAAAAAGATGCAATGTACCTAGAGGTATATTTTTGACAGCGATTTTCAATATCCGTCTCTACTATTCAAACTATTTTTGTTGATTCATTTTATTGTTTTTACATGTCAGATAATATCTATTCTGATAATCGGTTACTGTTTCATTATGTGTATCAAGTTGTCTGCATTACATACTTAGCAAAGTAAAATATGTTTACCAAAATATGAGTAACATCTTTCTCGAACTGTTATAAAAATTTTCAATAATTTATATTTTAGCTAAGATCCATATGGAAAATTATAATCAGTCGCAATTTCTGTTTCAAATCAGAACGACTTCAAATAATGCAAATGTTTTCTCATAAACATGTTGTAACTGATATCCATTTGAAAAACATAAATGTTGTTACGTTTTACACAGATATTTGTTCGTTACTTATTAAAGCAGATGGTTGTTGAAAACTTTTTCATTATTCATATTTTAATAAAAGTTTTGCTCCAGTAAATAAAAAATAGCACGCGTTTTAATATAACTAATTCCAAAATCTGATTCTAAACGAAATTTTTATAATTTGATTTAAAAAAATTATTTCGGGATATTGTTCTATCCTATGATCCTAGTCAGATACGATTTTGGTTGACCATCACTAAGTAAACTTCATTGTACAATTACATACATAACAATTTCACAATACATATATGTGTAAATACTTTAATCAAAAAAGTCGACCATCAGAATCAGTGATACATTTTCTTCGTGAATTAGCTGGTTTAATAACTGTTATTGCATTATTAATCGCTGTTTTAACTTCACCTCAGAGAACAATGCGGTGCATACGGATCCTCAAGGAACTTGATGAGGTAAATATTTAAGGCATATTAAATTTAGAGTAGATGGTCATATAAAAATGCAAAAAGCAGCCATTAAAGACCACTTCTCGCCGATTTTCTGTGATAGGATACTTCCCCAGTCGAGCCAGCCCATGTTCGAGCTGCAGTAATTTAACCACAGCGAAGCTCTACCATCTTAAAAATTGTGAACATTTATGAAAATCCATACATCCAGATTTTTGTTTATGATTCACACAAAACTACTTTAGTTATTTAAATGAAAACTTATACTTGAAAATAGTATAGTTTCTCAAGAAACCCTTTAGTTTCTTTGGGCTTACGGCAAAACAAGCGTATTTTAATATGAAAGCATGTGACAGGCTATGGACTGGTTTCCGTATCTATTGTTGATGCATTTGATTCATTTAAAAAGTTTCACGTACAGAGTTAAGGATAAAAGCTAGTAATGTATTAAAGTAATCAAACAAATTGGGAGAAAAGAGATTTATTTTTCATCTTATATTAAAGTGAAGGGTGTTTATCTAACTTAACCAGATTTTTTCTTTCAGATCGACAAAGAACTATTAAC